TGCAGTTAGCCGACCAAAATCAAGACCTCGTCAAAATATGTCAATCAGAACCAGTGAATAACAAATAGCCATCTGATCCCGAGGATTTGAGTATGATTGATATTTTGAAATCCTCTCTTGGTATCAAGCAACAGTTACACCCAGTAGAATTTAGATTCAAAAATGTTATAATACACCAAACAACATTCAGAAATATTTCCGCAGTTGCATAAGACTTTTCTTATAATTGATGTATGGAAAAAGATAGAAAAGAAAAATAAAAAACAATTTTTGGGGAAACCCTTTTTGCATATTGATTTCCGGAAGGATTTAGCAAAAATTGAAACTTGTTAATTCCCAAAACTTTGCTTAATACCTATAAAATGGCAACGACATGGCAATCTTGCACATAAGATTGTAGAAATACATTGGAAAAATAGCTGCTATTACTTTATAGTTTAATGGATTTAATGTAATAAAAATACAGCATCACTAAATGCTGGCTGCTTGTTATGTCTCTTTTACCTTATCACCTTTATGCTCCCTCGTTCCATTCACTAACTGCTGTAACTTATTAATTTTTTAACTCTCCAATTACCATGACTTACACTACAGTAACCCAACACTTTGTTTTGCAATTTATTCATAAGTCGCTACTAAATTCCTGTCTGAATTTTACATGATCAAAAGTCATCCTATGTTACCTGCTTGTAAACTTGTGGAACATAATCAATTATGCCTGAATCGTTGGAAAGATTTATCCACTTCTAAACTCGGCTTCAAACAGTTCTATATTAATCTGTAATCGCATATTCCTAAATTTTTTCACCATTCAATCGACATTGTGTAAACTACCATTCTTAACTAGCTGGTCTGATTTCAACTCCCGTTTCTTTAATTTCTAATCCTTTAACGCTTATTCTTTTACATGTGTTGGTCTCCAATATCTTATGATCCGAAATGAAATTTACAAAAATTCTACAATCAGATTTGCTTTTTTCGTACACATCATCTTCACTGCGATTTTTTTCGGCAAATACCAATGAAAGTTTCATTATTAGGACTAAGGACTAATGGGAAAATAGAAAAGAAAAAGTCGTATAACTGAACTTTTTAAGAGAATTCTCTTGTTAAAGTGCATCATAATAAATAAAAATCTATTTGAATCGTAAACAGTGAGAAAGCTTGATGAAATCACTTATGGTATATGCTTTTCTCAAGCAATGACGAGAACA